ATGGTGACACCACTAGACTAAGACTATGACGGCGACACCACTGAACTAAGATTATGACGGCGACACCACTAAACTAAGACTATGATGGTGACACCACTAGACTAAGACTATTACGGTGACACCACCAAACTAAGACTATGACGGCGACACCACTAAACTAAGACTATGACGGTGACACCACTAAACTAAGACTATGATGGTGACACCACTAGACTAAGACTATGATGGTGACACCACTAGACTAAAATATGACGGTGACACCACTAAACTAAGACTATGACGGTGACACCACTAAACTAAGACTATGATGGTGACACCACTAGACTAAGACTATGATGGTGACACCACTAGACTAAAATATGACGGTGACACCACTAAACTAAGACTATGACGGCGACACCACTAAACTAAGAATATGATGGTGACACCATTAGACTAAGAACATGACGGTGACACCACTAGATTAAGACTATGATAATGACACCACTAGACTAAGACTATGATGGTGACACCACTAGACTAAGGTTATGATGGTGACACCACTAGACTAAGACTATGATGGTGACACTCATCTGTTATATCCCACATCCAAAAGCCTATTCGGTAAAATGTCTTAGATAAGCGCTTTTATTAACCGAAAGTTTTGTAACTATTTAGGATTTATTAGTAAGTATATACCTACAAAACGGGGTTCAAAACTGCCACATGTGACCCTAATGATTGGAGTTTGCATGGTCTGTCAGTAATTAAAGTAGTAAATGTGACCCTAATGATTGGAGTTTGCATGGTCTGTCATTAATTAAAGTAGTAAATGTGACGCTAATTATCGGAGTTTGTATGGTCTGTCAGTAGTTAAAATATTTAAACAAGTAATTAAAAAAATAGTGACAATTTTAGCGCAATTTCCTTGTGTTATCTAAAAATAGCTCTGTCGTAGCGTAAATCAAGAGCAGGCTTATTAAAACCATTTGTTGGTATTTAAAAGGTTTTTATAATTTTTTTTTCAGTATTTTACATGTTTTATTTACAATAGAGTAACATGACTAAAAACCATTGCGCGCCCAGCTACCGAACGTGACGTCGCAGCCATTGAACGTGATGGCGCAGCTATTGAACGTGATGACGCGTGTGGTGTGGTTGCATAAAATGCCTACTAATTCGGTCCAAATTTTAATTAATTAAAAATTTTTTTTGTGACCGAACGAAAGGATATTTTTGAAAACTTTCTTCGGCAATATTGTTCTAAATTATGGCAGGAATCGATTGGTACATGTTTCAAGTCGCTAAGTGGTCTGGTTGTCGAGATATGGGCCAAAAACTGCTTTTTTTCGAGGTTTTTTGGCTTTTCCGGGAAATCCATGAAAGAAACCCGGAATTTTTATAGCCTATGTTCATCCTTGTAATTTGCTTAACATAATTGCTTTTGGAACTAGTCATCGATATTGCTTCGTTGAGGAGGAGATACGACTTAAAGCTGCGGACACACATCCATCCATCCATCCATCCATCCATTCATTCATACATTCATACATCCAGAAATGACGGGTTAATAAACGCAATTCTCCTAATAATTGGAGTTTTACATGGTCTGTCAGTAGTTAAAATATTTAAAAAAATGGTTTCTTTCTAACATCTTGGAGTTAAAGATATATTAAGCTGATTAGAAATTTAGTTCGTAGTTGGATGTAGGGATCTTTACAAATCTAGAATGGAACTTTCTGGCTCAATTTCTCTTCTTTATCTTGTTAAATGAACAGTGAGAACTTGTAAATACCGGAGAGAAACACTTGTTTTATAAAACTGACTGTCTATGAGCTCAATAAAAGGAATGGCTAAAATATCTCCAACATTCTCTTAATGTTTCGATGACTAGAGAACCGTTTTCATATTTCTAAATTGACCTTTATTATAAAAACAACACTCAGCTGAGCTAATTTTGAAGCTCCACTAGACTAAGACCTAGTTGTAACGGTTCTCAAGTTATCGTGTTCATAGACACAAATACACACACACATCACGCACACACACAGAGATACACACATACACACAGACATACGGACACAATTGCAAAACTATGCTATTCCGGCTCAGTGAGGTGTAAAACGTCGAGATTTGTAAAAATGTCAATTTTCGTTTGCACGGTTAAAAAACTTCCTCTTCGTATACGAGAAAGTAAAAAGCTTGATGAGAATTTTGCTGTACATTTTCACTAGTAACAACATGGCGTCACCACAGTTTCAGTTCCCCAATGCCTTCATCCATGTCACAGTTGTTAGTTGAACGTGACTTCAATGACTACCGTACACAAATCTGATTCAGCATGAAAGGCATCCACTGGCCTATCAACATCTTCAATAATAGAATACTAGGTGAGATGGAGGCAGTACCCGAAATAATTGAAGAAAAGATGATGCGCTGGATGGGGGACGTACTAAGAACGAATCCAGATGATAACAAAGGATTGCTGCTAAACTGGATGCCTCAAGGAAAAAGAAAGCAGGGAAGACAGTGGTAGACGTGCAGGCGCACGGCGGGGCAGCAGCTGGCAGATGCAGGACTGTCCTGGGGAACTGCAAGGAAAATGACCGGAGACTGACATAAGTGGAGGGAGCTTTCTATGGTTTGCACCATATTGCGCGTTTGCACCATATTGCACGTTCAAATTTAGATTCGTTTCGTTTATGATAACAAGATGCATCGGTAGTTCTGCTTAGATCTAGATCTAGATCTACATTTATTGAACAAAAAAAAAATAGCAGTTTAATTTTCGATCAATAATAGTTATGTAGGGTAGGTCTAATTAAATGTTAGGGATATAGTCACCATGGTGTAGATCTAGGTCTAATAAATTTAATTGTTAGGGATATAGATCTAGATCTAGTCACAATATATCCCTTATTGGTGTAGGTCTAATGGAGGCGAGCGAGTTGACGAGATTCCGTCCCCAATGTTGTTGACATGGAGTAAAAACGTGCTTTTTAGATTTAGACCGTAAAAAAAATAAAAAATAAAAACTTAAGCCTAAAATTAATTTAGAAATTTTATATTTTTAGAATAAATGCTATAAAAGTTGCAAATCCAGAGAACTTGAAAATAATTTGTTGAGTTTAAGGCTACATTTCTATTTATTTTCATCAAGCCTAAGTTATAACCGGATGTTTCACTTTCGTAAGACAAATATTGATTGGCTGTACAGTAACTTAGTGATCGATAACTATTTGTTTACAAAACTTTGCAGATCAAGTTTTTAAATAACAATGCAAATTTAAAACCCCATGAACTAGTTTTCTATTTTTAGCTTACAATGTGTACAATAAAATCAATGGCGGCCTATCCAATAGCAGGATGCCATTGTTTATGTCGCCATTACACGTGAAAACCAAATTGTTTTTGCTTTTTTTTAAATTTTTATTTAGTTACCGAAAATATTATAAACATCAAATACACCCAATCTTTAGTAAATTCCGAAAAAAACCAGATAGACAGGATTTTATAACCATATTTATTGTAACTACGCTGTGCATGATTTTTAAATGAATTTATACACCTCTCAAATACCTTTGAGACTTTTCTCGCTGGTGTCCATTAAATGTTAGGGATATAGTCGTCATATATCTCTTATTTGTTTGTGGGTCTCTACATTGAAATCTTTTCTAGATCTAGATTTTCGATTACTAAATTTATTTTTAAAAAATATTTCATTAAAAAGTTTTAGATGCAAAGTTTTTAGAACAAATGATTTTGATGTGGGGTTTTCAGAAGATTGATCAAGGATGTTCTGTACATTAGAGCGACGAGTAAGATTTTAAACCGCAAAATTGTTGAACATTTACGTAAACAATTAAAAAGTGCATTTAGAGATCTAAATTCCTTTAATTTGATACTAATTTTAATTATCATAAAAAAGATTTTTGAAAAACAAACGCGTTTGTTTTTAAATGGTTACGATGCTATGACTGATACGGTGGGTTAGTTTTTAAGTAGTGTAGTTGCGACGCGATTGACCGTTCAGCATAAATTTGTCGTCTGCTTGAGTTCTTCCAATGCAAATTGATAACTTTCAAAATAGGCGGGCTGAGTTCGCTGTCGTCTCAATTTGTATTTCAATGAATTTCTTTTTACCCTAATGCTATTTTAAAATTAATGAAATTAGAAACCTTACCTAAAGGTAATGGCCATACCATGACCTTACTTACCTTACCTTACCTTACCCTACCTTACCTTACCTTACCTTACCTTACCTTACCTTACCTTAACCTTAACCTTAACCTTTACCTTTACCTTTACCTTTACCTTTACCTTTACCTTTACCTTTACCTTTACCTTTACCTTTACCTTTACCTTTACCTTTACCTTTACCTTTACCTTTACCTTTACCTTTACCTTTACCTTTACCTTTACCTTTACCTTTACCTTTACCTTATTACGATGCTTAAGTCTAGGTCCTCTACAGATACGTTTATCTTACGTCAAATATAACTCAGCCAACCTAAATAAAATTAACTAACAGACGTATCGTTAAAATAATAACCGACATAATACTGAGAGAAAGTTTATCTTCATAAATTATTAAACTTATGAATGGGAAACATGGTCTTATTTTTCAAGGCAGCTTTGGGTGTTTTATAAATTAATAAACAAAGTATTTGTTCTAACTTTTATAATTATTTTATGATCTCTTTAGACCAGGGGTCTCCAAACTTTTCAGTCCGAGGGCCGCATTAACTGACAAATTTCAGTTCGGGGGCCAGTTCCTTCCGGACATGTCTGATTTTTCTGCGCAAAGTTCCTCAGCCATCACCAACAAACAATTTTTCCTTGGACAAAAAGATCTCCGCGGGCCGGATGAGAGGACTTCGCGGGCCGCATCCGGCCCGCGGGCCGTAGTTTGGAGACCCCTGCTTTAGACAAATATAGATACAAACTTGTAAACAAAGCAGAGTTTTGTGTTGAATATAAATACTTTTTCTTTTCTTGTTCTTTTGTTTCATTCAGAATTGGTTGTTGGTAAACTCGTTATTACAGCAAGTTGATAAACTACTCGGCTGAGGCACATTGAAGGACGCAGTTCTTGTGTGTTGGTGATCAAGAAGTTCAGAAACATGTTTGTAATCTACACGTCGTGAGTGCAAATAGAGATGAAAGAACTTTTGGTAAACTTACTTGTATTTAATAAACATTATATTGTATATGGATGATTTAGTTAAAGAAAAATAAAGCTGAAACCTGAAGTCTAAAATGGTGTAATCTATAAATTCACGCATCATTTTGACAATTTTTACCTCCCCTCCCCCACCCTCCTCCACCTCCCACCCCCATTCCCAGCTCCTCTCCGTTACACTTCGACACAGAAAGCCAGACCCACCACCCCATAAAATAATATCACATCTCAGCCAACAACAGCCCTCAAAACTGCTGTTTCATTCTTATTAAAACAGTGATTGTTTTCTAGATATCTTGACTGACCTCGATCAACATAAAGTGCTCTAATCAATTTTTTATTACAATTCATTAAAACAGTTTTTGAAACACGAAATAACGTCAAAACTTCGTTTCCTAACATTATTTTTTTATAACTGAACCCCCACTCCCCCTCATCACACATCGTCACACAATTATGGAACCCATCTCCCCTCTACGAGTGTGACTCCATTTATGGACGACCCTTAATTCCAGATAAAAATATTATCTTGTCTGAACTTTGTTTTTGTCGTTGTCAAACATTTAATACATGTCCATTTTACGTGCAAGATGTGTTTAAATATTTGTGTAGTAATGTGACATTATATTTGCCCCCTAAACTGGTTGATTTTCTGTACAAGATGTGTTTAAATATTTGTGTAGTGATGTGACATTTATTTGGTGTACAAGTTGTGTCGACGTGACCTTTCATTAATCCTTTGCAGCTCCTCGTACTACTTTATGCTGACTACACCTGGGTTACATCTCAAGCAGAACTTTGTTCTATAAGTCCTAGTATCAGATTTCCGTTAGATCTACTCAAGAAACATTATGAATATAATTACCCCCGCATACCTCTAGACAAAAACTTACCAATGTTAAACCAAGGGGAATGTGGCGTTTCTAAAAACGACCAATCCAAGCAGATTATCAATGGAAAAGATGCTCCAGCTAACGCCTGGCCGTGGCAAGTCTGGGTGGTAGGTGCTGCAGGTATGTGTGGAGGTTCTATCATTCACCGTCAGTGGATCGTGACGGCTGGTCATTGTTTCGAAGGCGAAAATGTTGTTAAAGTCTATTACGGAAGCAACAATAATCGCAATAATAATATTACAATGACAGACCGACAAATTCTGCTCAAAAGAGATGATGATGCTTCTGCCAAAGACATAGCCCTTTTCAGACTGACTTCACCATTGTTGTTTTCCGACTCAGTTCGACCGATTTGTTTGCCGGAGGGAAACGTTTGGGACGCCTCGCCATGTTTCGGCACAGGTTGGGGGTTGATGTCTGATGGAAAATTACCTGACATTCTCCAACAAATTCGTGTCAAAATTTTGAATCAATCTGTCTGCAAGGCTTTCCAGGGAATTTATGCGTTTTTGGAGCAAGTCAACAATTATTTCTGTACTGAGGCCGTGGACACGCCCAATGGAGAATATGGAGGACCATCCAATGGAGACTCAGGTGGGCCCGTGACTTGCCTGAAGAACGGCCGCTACTACTTGGTTGGAGTTTTTGCGGCTATGATACCGGTAGACGGAACTTATATGGGTTTTGCATCGACTGTGTCTAGAAATGTCGACATAATAAACGCGTTGATTCGTCAGTTTTCGTAGGTACATTATATGTACTTGATGTTTGTTACGGAACTATTGACGTACTGGTTTAGTGCTTTTGTATCGAGATTATATTCATCACAAGAAATGTTCCTTGGCATGAGCTTGTTAATCCCGTCATTATGACTTTCGTATTTATTTTTGTTTTCACCCCGACTACCATAGTAAATGATTGGCATTCATATAGGTCCCAAGTAAATTCCGTGCGAGAAATGTGACAATTTTACGGCTTATTATTACCTAACATACACAGGGAGGGAAAGAAAAACAACGAGGTAGAATAGAAGAAAGAGATATAGAGAAAGGGGGAAGTGAGAGAGAGGGAGTAAAAACATAAGGAGAGATCGTGTGAGGGAGAATGAGAGAAAAGGATCAGGAGAAGAGATTGAGTGAGAGAAATTAGAAAACCTTTGAGGGTGAGAACGAGAGAGTTGGAGAATGGGAGAAAGGAAGATTGATACAGAGATGTAAAAACGAGTGATGTGATATATATATATATATATATATATATATATATATATATATATATATATATATATGAATTGCTGAATTTTTGAAGAAGCTCAGGCAAATTGTTCCTCCCCAGACCTGCCGTGTAAACTTGCTGAAACAATGAAAAGATAAAATGTATATGAGACATTTAAAGGGTCTAGGTCATTACCCCCCCCCCCCCCTAAGCAGTTACCTCCTCCCCCGTCATTCAAACCCCTGGGGAATTGACCCCTCTCCCCTCCTTCCTCAAGTTCAAGAATCCTAAATATAACTCCAACTCTGTATCTATTTTGTTACATTAATCCAAACCTTAAGACCTAAACCTCAAACTAAAACTAAACCCAAAACCAAGCATTCACCTCAGCCTAAAATGAAACTCAAAACCAAACGCAACACTAAACTTTGGTTTAAGTCTGCCCTGAATCTAACCATAAACCTAACCCTAACCCTAGACATTGGTTTAAACCTAACCCTGCCCCTAACACTAATCCTAATCCTGACCCGAGGCCTAACCTTAGCCCTAGCCCTAGCCTTAACCGTAACCCTAACTAGAACCCTAACTGTAACCCTAACCATAGCCATAACCCTACCCTAACCCTAACCATAGACCTAACCATAACCGTAACCGTAACCATAGCCCTAAACCTAACCCTAACCATAACCGTAACCGCAACCGTAACCGTAACCCTAGCCCTTACTCTAGCCCTGGTCTTAGCTGTCCTAGCTATAACCGTGGGGTATTGTCCTACTGGGAGTGGGGTAATTGACAGGGGGTAATTGACGAAAGGGTGGTAATTATTCCCGGGGTAATGTGGAGGGGGGGGATCTTGAGGGGTATAATTGGAGGGGGTGGGTGGGGTAATGACCTGTTCCCATAATTAAAATTACATTTTCCAAACGTTCATTTTAGTTGTCAAGGAAATAGGGCTGTGTGTGTGTGTGTGAGAGAGAGAGAGAGAGAGAGGGGGGGGGGGTGGGGGTGCCACCAATAGATCTGCCTATGTGGTATCGTGTCAGAATATTTCATTTACATTTGTTGATTTTAGAGATTACGTTAAAATTAAAGGAATAAAGTTATATAAAACTTTGACGATTTTTGTTAAAAATTGACGCACATGTTATTTGTCCCTCACATAGACATGTTATTTATCCATTATGTGATCATGTCATATGTATTGTGCCTGGCGTGATCATGTCATTTAACTTTCATCTGATATGTCATTTACGCCTGATGTCATTTTGTCTTGCAACAGTGCACCCTTGACCGTTAGCAGTTAATCTTGTTATCTCCCATTAGAAACAATTTAATTAAATTCAAATGACTTATATGATTTCTAATTGGTTTACAAAAGATATTAATGCATAACCCTCGACGTAAAAACAAACAAACAAACAAATAATTAAACATACATACATACAAACAAACAAACAAACAAACAAACAGGAATATGCGAATTAGATAAAAGCTTGTAAAAAGGCACCAGGCTCTTGATATATATAGACAAATGTACATGTGAGTATGTGCGTTCTTTTTCTTTCATACGTTTATTATAAAAACAACACTTAGCTGAGCTAGTTTTGAAGCTCCACTAGACTAAGAATATGATGGTGACACCACTAGACTAAGACTATGACGGTGACACAACTAGACTAAGACTATGACGGTGACACCATTAGACTAAGACTATGACGGTGACACCACTAGACTAAGACTATGACGGTGACACCACTAGACTAAGACTAAGATGGTGACACCACTAGACTAAGACTATGACGGTGACACCATTAGACTAAGACTATGACGGTGACACCACTAGACTAAGACGGTGACACCACTAGACTAAGACTGACGGTGACACCACTAGACTAAGACTAAGACGGTGACACCACTAGACTAAGACTATGATGGTGACACCACTAGACTAAGACTATGACGGTGACACCATTAGACTAAGACTATGACGGTGACACCACTAGACTAAGACGGTGACACCACTAGACTAAGACTATGATGGTGACACCACTAGAGTAAGACAATGATGGTGACACCACTAGACTAAGACTATGATGGTGACACCATTAGACTAAGACTATAATGGTGACACTCATCTGTTACATCCCACATCCAAAAGCCTATTCGGTAAAATGTCTTAGATAAGCGCTTTTATTAACCGAAAGTTTTGTAACTATTTAGGATTTATTAGTAAGTATATACCTACAAAACGGGGTTCAAAACTGCCACACGTGACCCTAATGATTGGAGTTTGCATGGTCTTTCAGTAATTAAAGTAGTAAATGTGACCCTAATGATTGGAGTTTGCATGGCCTGTCAGTAATTTAAGTAGTAAATGTGACCCTAATGATTGGAGTTTACATGGTCTGTCAGTAATTAAAGTAGTAAATGTGACCCTAATGATTGGAGTTTACATGGTCTGTCAGTAATTAAAGTAGTAAATGTGACCCTAATGATTGGAGTTTGTATGGTCTGTCAGTAGTTAAAATATAAAAAAAAAAAATCATAAAAAACGTTTTAATAACAAGCTTTTATGTAATGATGCACTAAAAAGTAGAAAATAAATTATAGACTACTATTTAAATAACTATAAAGAAAAGCGTGGGTCACTTTAGTATCTATTGGATACCTTTACTAATGTTAAGGAAGACACCCACGCTTTTCTTTATAGTTATTTAAATAGTAGTCTATAATTTATTTTCTACTTTTTAGTGCATCATTACATAAAAGCTTGTTATTAAAACGTTTTTTATGAATTTTTTTTTTCAGTACTTTACATGTTTTATTTACAATAGAGTTACATGACTAAAACCATTGCGCGCCTACTGAACATCACGTTCAGTAGGCGCGCAATGGTTTTTTTGAACGCAGCCATTACGTGATGGCGCAGCTATTGAAGGTGATGACGCGTGTGGTGTGGTTGGCTAGACATGCCTACTAATTCGGTCCAAATTTTTATTAATTCATAAAAAATTAATTAGGCATCCAATTAAGTCAAATTTAGTTTCAGATTGCATTGTCTTCATGTCTTGACCCACGTGCCAACTGTGAATCGTATCGGTCAAGTAGAACTGTCCGAATTTTCACTCCTGCGTTTCCGTCTAGACAGACTGACGACAGACAGAGGAAGTGAGTTAAATAAAAGCTTGTAAAAAAAGGTTTCTTTCTAACATCTTGGAGTTAAAGATATATTAAGCTGATTAGAAATTCAGTCCGTAGTTGGATGTAGGGATCTTTACAAATCTAGAATGGAACTTTCTGGCTCAATTTCTCTCCTTTATGTTGTTAAATGAACAGTGAGAACTGGTAAATACCGGAGAGAAACACTTGTTTTATAAAACTGACTGTCCATGAGCTCAATAAAAGGAATGGCTAAAATATCTCCAACATTCTCTTAATGTTTCGATGGCTAGAGAACAGTTTTCATATCTTTAAATTGACAAGAATAGAAAAATGTTTGAGGACGCCTGATACCGCTTTGAAATTCTGAAAGCTCATAAAGCAGGTGATTGAAACGTTGAACGGCACCTAGCAGAGCAGCCTCGTTGTGACGCTCTGGCCTGCAGTTTACAGCCAATCAGCGCCGGTGTTGCAGAAACAGGTAGAATCTCGGACTACAGGTAGAGCTACCTGGGGTACGAGCAACAGTTGCCCGTAGGAGAGCGGGACTCAAGGGAGTACAAAATAATTGGACACATCGAATCATGTAGCTCAATTTGCATATTACAATAAAGTATTCGCGTACACACAAGTTACTTTACAGAAAAGATAGAGGTAAGCTTTTGCTAGAAATGTGCTTGGGTTAATCAGTGAATATATTGCGCTTATAAATTTAATTTAATCAAGCGCCTATGATGGTTTCAGGCCGCAGTCATTTGTTTTTGCTGTTATTTGTTGTTTGTGGATTTATTTGGACGAGGGTGGGGGGGGGGGGGGGGGGGGCGGGGTTGAAACGGACTAAAACATCTCCGATTCGTTAATTTAGTTTAATTTACCTGAAAGAATGTATCACTGTAAAATTGCAAGTGATGAGGTGAAACTTTGACAGTGACAGTTGTGTGGTTGTTTGATATTAAAAGTCGTGAGCTCATTGAGACTCACCGTTGTGTGACTCTGTCACATTATCAGATGTGTGACTGTCACATTGACAGTTGTGTGACTCTATTACACTCAAGCTTTGACAGTCAAGAAGTTTGACATAGACATCGACAGTCTTATTTTACTTGAATTTGTTGGACATAGAGATACACAGGTTTGTGTTGCCTTGCTTGAGTGAGAATTTGTTTCTAGCCTTACAACGTGTGGTGTTTTTTCGTCGTACGACCAATCTCCCCTCCCTTCTTGTATTCGTAAATCCTTAACAGGTTCAAAGTTCACATTTGGTGTGAAGCTATAATTCAATATTCCCCTACGTAAAAGGGAAAATAAGTGAATTCAAATAAGTCATTGGAAGGACATTGGCCAATTGGAAGGACATCGACCAACAATGTCCTCAGCACTCAAACAAACGCTCTTCCTTCTGGTTATCACATTGGCACCATGCGTGTCCGGGGCATTAAAGTCATTATCTGCCAGCCATGACTCCCAAAATTCACGAAGACATAGAACATCAGAATCTTTCATAGGAACACCTATAACGCTAGGTAACGCTTGGGCTGCAACTGTAACATTATCCAGAAGACAGACAACGTTCAAACAAGGCCCAACGCCAGTTTCACCCACAACAGCTTCAAAGGTTGCGCTGTCAGAACCAAATTTGAAATCAGAACTAGTTAATCCAAGCAAGTGGACATGTACTTTCTACAATGGTGTATACACATGTGTTTTTTCGCCTACACCTGAAGCTGTCTCTACCACACCTCGCTCCCCAAAGACTGTATCCACCACACCAACTACCAATATGCCAGACTCTACACCAACTACCAATATGCCAGACTCTACACCAACTACCAATATGCCCGACTCTACACCAACTACCAATATTCCAGACTCTACACCAACTACCAATATGCCCGACTCTACACCAACTACCAATATGCCCGACTCTACACCGACTACCAATATGCCCGACTCTACACCAACTACCAATATGCCCGACTCTACACCAACTACCAATATGCCCGACTCTACACCAACTACCAATATGCAAAACTCTACACCAACTACCAATATGCCCGACTCTTCACCAACTACCAATATTCCAGACTCTACACCAACTACCAATATGCTCGACTCTACACCAACTACCAATATGCCCGACTCTACACCGACTACCAATATGCCAGACTCTACACCAACTACCAATATGCCAGACTCGACACCATTTACCAATATGCCAAACTCTACACCAACTACCAATATGCCCGACTCTACACCAACTACCAATATGCCAGACTCTACACCAGCTACCAATATGCCCGACTCTACACCAACTACCAATATGCCAGACTCTACATCAACTACCAATATGCCAGACTCTACACCAACTACCAATATGCCAGACTCTACACCAACTACCAATATGCCAGACTCTACACCAACTACCAATATGCCAGACTCTACACCAACTACCAATATGCCAGACTCTACACCAACTACCAATATGCCCGACTCTACACCGACTACCAATATGCCCGACTTTACACCAACTACCAATATGCCAGACTCTACACCGACTACCAATATGCCCGACTCTACACCAACTACCAATATGCCAGACTCTACATCAACTACCAATATGCCAGACTCTACACCAATTACCAAAATGCCAGACTCTACACCAACTACCAATATGCCCGACTCTACACCAACTACCAATAAGCCAGACTCTACACCAACTACCAATATGCCAGACTCTACACCAACTACCAATATACCAGACTCTACACCAACTACCAATATGCCCGACTCTACACCAACTACCAATATGCCCGACTCTACACCAACTACCAATATGCGAAACTCTACACCGACTACCAATATGCCCGACTCTACACCAACTACCAATATGCCAGACTCTACACCAACTACCAATATGCCCGACTCTACACCAATTACCAAAATGCCAGACTCTACACCAACTACCAATATGCCAGACTCTACACCAACTACCAATATGCCAGACTCTACACCAACTACCAATATGCCAGACTCTACACCAACTACCAATGTGCCAGACTCTACACCAACTACCAATATGCGAGACTCTACACCAACTACCAATATGCCAGACTCTACACCAACTACCAATATGCCAGACTCTACATTAACTACCTATATGCCCGACTCTACACCAACTACCAATATGCCAGACTCTACACCAACTACCAATATGCCAGACTCTACACCAAATACCAATATGCCAGACTCTACACCAACTACCAATATGCCCGACTCTACACCAACTACCAATATGCCAGACTCTACACCAACTACCAATATGCCAGACTCTACACCAAATACCATCATGTCAAACTTCACCACTTCAACTACCACTATGTCAAGCAAATGGTGGTGTAGAATCTATTATGATCCACGTAATTGTGTAATTGTTACTACCCCTAAAGCTATTTCCACCACACCTACTACCACTATATCACACTCCACAACACCCACTACACCTATGTCAGAATCCACCACACACACTACCCCTAAAGCCGTCTTCACAAGTACTTCAACATTTGCTCACTCAACTACTGACCCGTCAACATCGAATCCACCGTCAGCGTCAACAACAACAGTGAATGAGATTTCCAGTTCCTCTCAAAAGCCTGGTAAATATTTGAAATCATTTACAACAGAAATTTTAATTTAATAAACTAATATATTGCCAATATCAATGTTCTAGAAAATATCGTCGCCTTAAAATGTTTTTTACGTTTCATGTGTTTTATTTCCCATATTTATATATTTTACCATTATTTCTTCACATTCTGCCTAAATCGAAATCATCCCTTAACTTTAGTTGGGTTCGTCCTAAAGTCGAACTCAGCTCTGATGGACACCCGACTTAATTTTAGGAAGGCGACTGGGCACAATGCTGACTACACAATTCTTTTAGAGGATTTAAAAAACGACATTTCGAAGAAACACGTGGTTAAAAAATCTAGGGAAGACTTGCTGTCACTGTTTACTTTCCTTAAGTGATTCCTCCTTATGAAGCACATGGCCTCTTCATTTGCGAGGCCCTGCTTTGTTAGAATTCAACAGTTTTCTGTCCTGCATAGGTATGGCAACTACAGCTGTCTAGAGTTCTCTGTCCTGCTAGGGTGTGGCCTGTCTAAATATTTCTAGAGTTCTCTGTCCTGCTAGGGTGTGGCCTGTCTAAATATTTCTAGAGTTCTCTGTCCTGCTAGGGTGTGGCCTGTCTAAATATTTCTAGAGTTCTCTGTCCTGCTAGGGTGTGGCCTGCTTAAATATTTCTAGAGTTCTCTGTCCTGCTAGGGTGTGGCCTGTCTAAATATTTCTAGAGTTCTCTGTCCTGCTAGGGTGTAGCCTGTCTAAATATTTCTAGAGTTCTCTGTCCTGCTAGGGTGTGGCCTGCTTAAATATTTCTAGAGTTCTCTGTCCTGCTAGGGTGTGGCCTGTCTAAATATTTCTAGAGTTCTCTGTCCTGCTAGGGTGTAGCCTGTCTAAATATTTCTAGAGTTCTCTGTCCTGCTAGGGTGTAGCCTGTCTAAATATTTCTAGAGTTCTCTGTCCTGCTAGGGTGTGGCCTGTCTAAATATTTCTAGAGTTCTCTGTCCTGCTAGGGTGTAGCCTGTCTAAATATTTCTAGAGTTCTCAGTCCTGCTATGGTGTGTCCTGTCTAAATATTTCTAGAGTTCTCTGTCCTGCTAGGGTGTGGCCTGTCTAAATATTTCTAGAGTTCTCTGTCCTGCTAGGGTGTGGCCTGTCTAAATATTTCTAGAGTTCTCTGTCCTGCTAGGGTGTAGCCTGTCTAAATATTTCTAGAGTTCTCAGTCCTGCTATGGTGTGTCCTGTCTAAATATTTCTAGAGTTCTCTGTCCTGCTAGGGTGTGGCCTGTCTAAATGTTTAAAGAGTTCTCTGTCCTGCTATGGTGTGGCCTGTATCAATGTTCCTAGAGTTCTCTGTCCTGCTATGGTGTGGCCTGTATCAATGTTCCTAGAGTTCTCTGTCCTGCTATGGTGTGGCCTGTATCAATGTTCCTAGAGTTCTCTGTCCTGCTAGGGTGTGGCCTGTATCAATGTTCCTAGAGTTCTCTGTCCTGCTATGGTGTGGCCTGTATCAATGTTCCTAGAGTTCTCTGTCCTGCTAGGGTGTGGCCTGTATCAATGTTCCTAGAGTTCTCTGTCCTGCTAGGGTGTGGCCTGTCTAAATATTTCTAGAGTTCTCAGTCCTGCTATGGTGTGTCCTGTCTAAATATTTCTAGAGTTCTCTGTCCTGCTAGGGTGTGGCCTGTCTAAATGTTTAAAGAGTTCTCTGTCCTGCTATGGTGTGGCCTGTATCAATGTTCCTAGAGTTCTCTGTCCTGCTATGGTGTGGCCTGTATCAATGTTCCTAGAGTTCTCTGTCCTGCTATGGTGTGGCCTGTATCAATGTTCCTAGAGTTCTCTGTCCTGCTATGGTGTGGCCTGTATCAATGTTCCTAGAGTTCTCTGTCCTGCTAGGGTGTGGCCTGTATCAATGTTCCTAGAGTTCTCTGTCCTGCTATGGTGTGGCCTGTATCAATGTTCCTAGAGTTCTCTGTCCTCCTAGGGTGTGGCCTGTATCAATGTTCCTAGAGTTCTCTGTCCTGCTAGGGTGTGGCCTGTATCAATGTTCCTAGAGTTCTCTGTCCTGCTAGGGTGTGGCCTGCCTAACGTTTCTAGAGTTCTCTGTCCTGCTAGGGTGTGGCCTGCCTAACGTTTCTAGAGTTCTCTGTCCTGCTAGGGTGTGGCCTGTCTAAATATTTCTAGAGTTCTCTGTCCTGCTATGGTGTGGCCTGTATCAATGTTCCTAGAGTTCTCTGTCCTGCTATGGTGTGGCCTGTATCAATGTTCCTAGAGTTCTCTGTCCTGCTAGGGTGTGGCCTGCTTAAATATTTCTAGAGTTCTCAGTCCTGCTATGGTGTGTCCTGTCAAAATGTTCCTAGAGTTCTCTGTCCTGCTATGGTGTGGCCTGTCTAAATGTTTAAAGAGTTCTCAGTCCTCCTAGGGTGTGGCCTGTATCAATGTTCCTAGAGTTCTCTGTCCTGCTAGGGTGTGGCCTGTATCAATGTTCCTAGAGTTCTCTGTCCTGCTATGGTGTGGCCTGTATCAATGTTCCTAGAGTTCTCTGTCCTGCTAGGGTGTGGCCTGTCTAAATATTTCTAGAGTTCTCTGTCCTGCTAGGGTGTGGCCTGCTTAAATATTTCTAGAGTTCTCTGTCCTGCTATGGTGTGGCCTGTATCAATGTTCCTAGAGTTCTCTGTCCTGCTAGGGTGTGGCCTGTATCAATGTTCCTAGAGTTCTCTGTCCTGCTAGGGTGTGGCCTGTATCAATGTTCCTAGAGTTCTCTGTCCTCCTAGGGTGTGGCCTGTATCAATGTTCCTAGAGTTCTCTGTCCTGCTATGGTGTGGCCTGTATCAATGTTCCTAGAGTTCTCTGTCCTCCTAGGGTGTGGCCTGTATCAATGTTCCTAGAGTTCTCTGTCCTGCTATGGTGTGGCCTGTATCAATGTTCCTAGAGTTCTCTGTCCTGCTATGGTGTGGCCTGTATCAATGTTCCTAGAGTTCTCTGTCCTGCTATGGTGTGGCCTGTATCAATGTTCCTAGAGTTCTCTGTCCTGCTATGGTGTGGCCTGTATCAATGTTCCTAGAGTTCTCTGTCCTGCTATGGTGTGGCCTGTATCAATGTTCCTAGAGTTCTCTGTCCTGCTATGGTGTGGCCTGTATCAATGTTCCTAGAGTTCTCTGTCCTGCTAGGGTGTGGCCTGTATCAATGTTCCTAGAGTTCTCTGTCCTGCTATGGTGTGGCCTGTCTAAATATTTCTAGAGTTCTCTGTCCTGCTAGGGTGTGGCCTGCTTAAATATTTCTAGAGTTCTCTGTCCTGCTATGGTGTGGCCTGTATCAATGTTCCTAGAGTTCTCTGTCCTGCTAGGGTGTGGCCTGTATCAATGTTCCTAGAGTTCTCTGTCCTGCTAGGGTGTGGCCTGTATCAATGTTCCTAGAGTTCTCTGTCCTGCTATGGTGTGGCCTGTATCAATGTTCCTAGAGTTCTCTGTCCTGCTATGGTGTGGCCTGTATCAATGTTCCTAGAGTTCTCTGTCCTGCTATGGTGTGGCCTGTATCAATGTTCCTAGCGTTCTCTGTCCTGCTATGGTGTGGCCTGTATCAATGTTCCTAGAGTTCTCTGTCCTGCTAGGGTGTGGCCTGTATCAATGTTCCTAGAGTTCTCAGTCCTGCTATGGTGTGGCCTGTATCAATGTTCCTAGAGTTCTCTGTCCTGCTAGGGTGTGGCCTGTATCAATGTTCCTAGAGTTCTCTGTCCTGCTATGGTGTGGCCTGTATCAATGTTCCTAGAGTTCTCTGTCCTGCTATGGTGTGGCCTGTATCAATGTTCCTAGAGTTCTCTGTCCTGCTATGGTGTGGCCTGTATCAATGTTCCTAGAGTTCTCTGTCCTGCTATGGTGTGGCCTGTATCAATGTTCCTAGAGTTCTCTGTCCTCCTAGGGTGTGGCCTGCCTAATGTTTCTAGAGTTCTCTGTCCTGCTATGGTGTGGCCTGTCTAAATGTTTCTAGAATTCTCTGTCCAGGTCATTCTCTCTAGCTTGTTCCACGTGTGACCACCTCCCCCCACCCATCTCCTACTTCCTTCGGCATCGACCTGGCAGGAGGGCGTGGTCAATGAAATCAGCTAGGGTCACATCTACTTTCTGCATGCCGTTTTCTTCGTCTAAGCTCCATACAATTAGAATGACTTAAAAGATTGTAACCAGTCATAGCATGCTATATCACATTATAAGACATTACAGTTACTTTCAAGATCTTATGTAGGGCTAGCCAGTAAAAAGATAATCTGTGTATCCTTTACTTAAGTCGCCAATAGATAGATTAGTAAATTCAGTAAAACAGTGTATGAGGTTATATGTACCTCTATAAAGTCTGATATTATTTTTGAACAGCAAGCACGAGATGGTGCGAGAATGAAACTATAAACTTCAGAAACTGTTCCAACATAAACCTTCTCAAGGCTAGGCAGCTGGTAAGGCAGACATTACACATTTTAAACCTACCACACTTGCCTTATTATTCGCTATGCCAGTTTTCTCATCCAAAGGGGAAAACAAAAACTTGAACCAGTGTGATCTAATTCTCTGTTGTAAATTTTAAACATTACTTTCCTGTTAAATTCACAATATGCACATACATCTAAATTATAGCTTTTTAGTGAGAAAAAAAGACCACAGTGTCTAATGATGATATTACTAGACTAGGTCTAGAACATATTTACAGAAACGGCCCAGGATTTGATTTTTTTTCTCATTATTGGGCTTGTAAGTTGTTCAAGTAGCTTACCAAGTTCTCGCTCCGGTAGTTGCCAGCTGGCGTTTTTTTGTTTTTTCAAACCAAATGTGAATATTTTTTATTTATTTATTTTTTAAGTTATGAAATCTACTTTCGTTTTTGGAATAAAAAAAACTCCGACAATAAGTTGTTTTAAGTAAATTAAGTTTAAAATAACACACACACACACACACACACATATATTATATTTTATATAGATCTAGATAGATCTAGAATACAACCTGTATAATAATAATACATTTATAATCTATATAAAATATGATATTTATAGGCCTAAAAGATTTAAATCGTAAATCTGAAATCAAGCCTAATTTAATTAATAAATATATATAGCCTAGATCTAGAGTCTAGATTTCTAGATCTAGAATTCTATATCTAGATCTATGACTTTAAAAAAAAACCCTCTTGAAAATTCCGACTTAGACAGTAACATACGACATACAGGATTTATTTTTAATTTATAGACTCAAGAGTAGTCTAGAGATCTAGATTCTAGATCTAGTTTATTTTATTTTACAGTGTAGTTGAGTGGAATTAATTACTAAATTACTAAATAGGCTATTTACTTTAAGACAGGTAGACTAGAATATGTTCAATATCAATTTATATATAGAATCTAGATTATTCTAGATCTAGCGAAGTTTAGTGGTCTTGTTGTAGAACTTAAGAACTAAATCTAGAGTGTAGGCAACTGTAGTAATTTAGATCTAGAATCTAGTACTGTGTGACGTCATTTTAGGGGGTGGGGGTCTGGCTTTTTGTGACGATGTGTAGGGGGAGGGGAGGTAAAAATCGTCAAAAAAATGCGTGACGTCATTTATAGATGACCCCCATGGAGAAGATCCACACAGAAACAGTTTAAGGAAATGGGCCTAACATTCAAACAGGTAGAGGTACCAACATGATTTTAGAGATTATGTAGATATACATATATATATATATATATATATATATATATATATATATATAGGGGGAGGGGTAGAGAGAGAGAGGGTTCATCTGTAAATTGCATCACACATTTTATGATGATTTTTACCTCCCCCTCATAAAGGAGGGCAGTAAAAAGAAGAATGTATGATAGCTGGGTAATCCTAATTTATATAATCAGATTATTGTGGTAAATAAAAGTCAACATATCTAGCCTAACAAAATGCCATGAATTTAAAATATATATTATGACTTAGAGAAAGTTTGGTGAAATGGAAATATCTGCAAATTTAATTTATTGATGATTTGTAACTTATTTATATTATTCCTTTGGAGCTGATAGTAATAAAAAGTTAATGAAATTATAGAGTTTTATCCAATTGATGTTTCTAAAGTCTTGCATGAACTTAATTTAAATATATTTAGCTGCCCAGGCAAAAAACCCAATGAATTTTCCAGAATTGGCTTGTCGTTTGACCGAAGGTAACAAAGAGAATCACCCAGGATCTTCGCTGATAAGAAAATCTGAAGACATACCTTATTCTTCTATACCTAAATGTGATTTGTCTAATGAAAATATTTATTCAGTGACAATTGCTGAAGATATTTTACCATTATTTCAAACATCATCTTCTAAAATGTTGTTTTCTATCTCTAAACCTTCCACAATTTCTTCAAGTTTCAAGAGATATTTTAACATCATTGCCTACTTCCCACAGTTCTTATGTTCAAAATTTGCAATTTTCTGAGAAACAAAATAATAATAAATTTGTACCCAGTGTTTTAGTTTCAGCTCCATTAAAATTAATAAACCAATGAATTTCAAAATTAAATGTTTCTTATCCCATATGAAAGTAGTCTGTTAAAAAAATTTAATGTTTGGATGTCAATAAATTATTGACATGGACTGGTTTGCGGGTAAGCTTTTATACTTAATGTACAATGAAATTCAGTTTTGATGTCAATATAGTTGCTTCTGAAATAATTAAACTATAAACAATAGCATTTATATAAATATCTCAATGGCAGTTCAGTATACTTTCATCATTGTTTTCAAATAACAAAACAGAACTACAATTTAAAAATTAAAAAAAAAATATTAAAAGAATTTCATAAATGGATGGTTTTTTAATTACTTAAAACAGAAGATGCATCAATAATACAGCATTATAATGTATATGATTAATATTTGTTTTAATGGACAATCATCATTCAAATTCTTCATTAAAAGTTAAATTCGGCTTCCTTGTGTCTAAAAATCCACATCCATGCTGTTCCATTTACCTAGAAATTAAATAAATAATATTTTTAACAACTTTTAGTAATATGAAAAAATTAATCATTGATTAAAACATACAGCCAATATAGCAGTTGAATTAAAATTCACCTGTTTCTGTGACATTTAAAATTAGAGTGTTCAGAGGTATATACCCAGCCACCTTTAGTTTTTCCCTATCTTGAGCCAGGTACTCATGAGAGCTGGTACTCATGAGACTTAGGACATCATACCAGGACTAAAGCCAGGGAACTTAACTCTTATCTTTTAGGATAGAAATGTTAGGATAGAAAGCTACTGTCTGACAGTCCCACTATCAAGCCATACATATTAATACTTACAGTAAATAATCTTAGTAGCAACATATTCTTTAAGAATTAGAACACTGAATTGGTTTCAAACTTGGGTTTAAGCTCAAAAATGGCTAATTATAAAAAAAATTCAGCTCACCTTTAGCTCAAGATCAGCACCAATAGCCACAGTAAAGTGTGAGAAAATTGCTTGCCAAGTACCTAGGGAATTTAAATATAATAAATTATTAAGTTTATCCATATATTATATTAAAATAATTATTTAACTAATATGTGATATTATATATATATATATATATATATATATATATATATATATATATATATATATATATATATATATATATATATATATATATATATATATATATGTTTCATTTATTCAATTTTATTGTAAAGGTTCAGTTTTCTATCTACTTAGCTTGTCTTAAAAACTAAAATATCTGGTTTACAGTTAACCATATCTTAACTATCACAAAACTATTAGTTTCATTTTCATTACTTGTAACTAAAAATTGTAGTCAATAGATCTAAAACTTAATTCTATTAACAGCTAACTGTAACTGTACTGACCCTGACCAATTTATTAATTTTTGTACCATGTAATTCATTAATAATTAGGCTTATACTAAAAGGCCGAAAGTTATCAATTGTAGAATTTATAGTCCCTGGTCTAGACTAACAAGATTAGCCTACAAGTCTAATAGTACTAATACACATGATTTAGTTTCTAAGTTTACTACTAGGCAACTTGCTAGAAGACTAGTACTTAACCAAACTTTAACTTGCTAAAAATAAAAGGGCCTAATACAATAGTAGTTGGACTAGTAATACTCTTTTTTTACTGTGCTACTTACACTGCTTTTGGTACTATTACTACGGCTAACTAACTACTAACTAAACTCTATTGTAGCTTGATGGAGATCTATCATCTTGCTCTTCTAGTAGTCTACACTACTTAGTACTTAGAAAAGTAGTAGCACTACTGTAACAATTTCAAACTAGGTCTAAATTTAATCTATATATTACTAGATCTACTAATTGCAACACTGTAGTCTGATAAGTCTGTAAGCCCTAAATGTAGTCTAGTTATTAGTACCTACACTCTACAATAGTCTACTCTACAGTACTCTACACTACACTCTACTACTACTCTTCTCACTCTACTGGCTACTGATCTAGTAAATAGCTTGAGTAGATCTAGTTTAGATTCTAGATCTAAAAAAATCAATTTAAAATTAAAAAACAGGTTAGCCTTACTAAACTTAACTAGGGTAGGTTTTACCTAAACTAGATCTAATCTAGAATCTGTCTAGATCTACTAGATTATCTAGATTTTAGATCTAGATCTAGGGCCTACCATACTACCATCTGCATCTAGATCTACTATCTCTATCTAGCCATCTATCTACAAGCTACTTCTTATAGGCCTACTTCTAAAATATTAAACAGTAATCACTGAGTAATCAGTACTAGACTAGAGTCTAGTTCAGTAATCTAGCTAGATCTAGAATCTAGGTCTATTAACATTATTGTCAAAGTCTAGAGAATCTATATCTATATTTTTTATCTAGCTAGCTGCTAGATGATAGATCTAGAATCTAGATATAAATTTAAAATCTAAATAGTAAATAGTAAATACAAATGTTTAGATTTAAATTTTACATAAACAAGAGAATGTGGTCAATCTAACTTTCTAATCTAGTCTGATCTAGATCTATCTAGATCTAGAGTCTAGATTCGATTTAAGTTGTAGACTGAGTGAGACTGACTGAGAGTGAGAGTCATCCTTTTCTTAATAATAATATTTTTAATATTTTATCTAGATCACTAAAATACTAGAATCTAGATCTAGATCTAATAGATTCTAATTCATGAACTTATACTCTTAGAACTAGGTTAAAGCAATGTACATCTTAGTTGGTAGATTCTAGAATCTAGATCTAGTCTAGATCTAGATCTAGATTTCTAGGTCTGGGAATCTTGAGTCTCGTAGCAAAGACTGAGTAGAGTCAGAGTAATGTCCCCTAGCCTTGGACAAACTATCAACAACAAAAATAAAATCAATATACTTACCGCCACAAAACTTTTATATTAAAAAATGCATACACATGTGTTTGTTCCCATCCATATGAACAAAACAGCGTTGAAAGTTTTTACAATTGTTGCTTTTCTGGAACGTTTGATGATTTTGAAATCTTGAAGCGGGACCTACTAACAAATAGCCGCCATGTTTTTTGTTATCAATGGGAATCCCGTTCACAACAATTGATTTAGTTCGAAAACTTTTATCTCTCCCTGGCTAACCAGACATGAATTAACGCGAGAAAGAACGATAAACTTACAAGCCCAATAGGGAGAGAGTCTGACAGTCTCAAACCAAAGCGACGAAAATATAACCGCCATTGTTAGACAGATGGCAGCACTCTATGACCTCAGTCTGCAGAACAACTCCAAAATCTCAGCCCCTGAGATCGCCTCTATCATCGGAGACTTTGAGATTATTGGGAAAACCTTGGCAAGCTCTAATGCTGACGTAAGCAATGAGACGCTCGAGGTATGTCATTTATTCGGAAATGTACGGTACTTGTTAGATATACATCTAAACTAATATTTAAAATTTACGATAGAAATTATGACTGCAAACGTAACATGATTTTAAAATAGTGTTGCATTCAAGTCAAACGCATAGAAACCTGTTCAACTAAACTTACTAAACTCGACGTGTTCACGTTAACGTTGGTTCACGTCAAGTTTATCTTGTTTAGATGTTTGCTGAGGTCTCCAGCAGACTCACATCGGCTGACAGCGAGGCTTGGAAGGACGAACCTGGCCTGGTAAAAACGGCAACTTTCCTTCACTCGATGGAGCAAATAGTCAAATCCAGCCTCAGGAGCTTCAACGGGACAAGTTCAGTCATAGAGAAATACCCATCTCTAGGTGAGTACTAGTTCAACGGGACAAGTTCTGTCATAGATAAATACCCATCTCTGGGTGAGTACTAGTTCAACGGGACAAGTTCTGTCATAGATAACCACCCATCTCTGGGTGAGTACTAGTTTAGGTATCGTGTACATGATGTGACACAGAAATAGGACATTTTTTCACGTACTTTACATAGTTTACATTAAAACCTCCCTATACCATATTATATAATGTTATATAGGCCAACATTTGCATAGACAAGCCGCGCATATTAATAACATTTATTGTCACGAGATTTAAATCTGTAAAGAAATACATTTCCACTTTCATACATTAAACTTAATTAAGCTGTCAGCAACTTGATTTCCACAACTTATTTCATTTTATGAACTTAGTCCGACCTAGTCTTTTTGTCTCTTTATATGCTATAATCTCAGCCCAACCGCAAAAAACTGGTTATGCCCTCATCTTTATATGCCCTCACCTCTTCCCAACACCTGGTTACGCCCTGATCTTTATATGCCCTCACTTCTTCCCAAACCTGGTTATGCCCTTATCACAATATAATGTTGAGCTCATCCCTCCACCGTTCATGATGTATACTATGTTCATCTCTTTATTTTCTTAACGTTGTATTATATGTTCATCTCTTTATATCTTAGCGTTGTATAATATGTTCATCTCTTAATTTTCTTAACATGGTTAATTTTTTAGTTACAATCAGAGATCTGTGCTTATCTATAAATATGATTCTTGACTTTCAATTATTCTATTGTTAACTGATGGGTTACTTTTTTTCAACACTTGTAAATAACTCATTGCAGCATAAATCAATGTTAAAAAAATAAATAATTTTAAAAGAAATATCTTTTAGTATTTAAATATGGATAATTGTATATTAGGAATAAATAACGAATAAATGTTTCAGTTGAGCAGTTACACTCACAGAGCAGTTTTATCAATTAAAAAAAAATTATACTTCATTTTTAACTTTTTCTCTACTAAAATAGTTATCTGCCGTTTCCGAGGTCGAGGCAACATTACTTTTCCATGGACTAACGTTAACTCCAGCTTGGTAGCAGAATCAGAAGTCCAGATATACCTACCTCTGGGCGATAGAGGTATTTTATTAAACATTGCAAAAGAACAGTGATGTATTAAACAACGCAAGCATACAATATAAATGTTCAACATTTAGAAGTTAGTTAATTCAAAAATTGTTTTAACAACTACCTCACACAAAAGCAAATTTGAGTTATCTACCTTTAGCATACTAATATATATATATATATATATATATATATATATATATATATATATATATATTATATAAAACTGTACCGGCAGCTTTTTTTAACCAACTTTATCGACATATTAGAAAACAAAATAAAAAGTAGTTAAGAAGAGATTGAATGATCTTTTGAGAACTAGATTAGCAGATATTTTTCTCCTCTACAGAAGATGACAAAAATCAACTGTATTCTGTAATCATCTACAACCAGCTGGCACAGAAAATTAATTTGAATCCACAAGTTCAAAACAAGTAATAAAAATTATCCTATATTTACAGCTTGTCACAATGCGAGGAATTAATTGAAAAATGATAGTTAGTGCTGGGGCTTTTATTAAAAAAAAAAATTGCTGTTATTTGAAATGAAGCTATAAGCAAATTTAACAAAAAGCAAAGCAGTATGACTCGTTATAGATCTATAATCAATTGATTTCCATACACACTGTTTTGCAGGTTTGAACAGGGACACCTTCTGGGCAAGAGCATAACTTCGCCCATCATTTCAGTCTCAATCCTTCATACTCCCACCCAGAGGCCAATAGAATTAACCTTTTCACATAAAAAAGTAACACTTATTTAAAACTTTTTTCTGCTTTGTACCTTAACAATTAAAAAAAAAATTGTGTTTATGCTCATGTTTTAAAAAAACACCTTGTTACCTTTTAAGAAATATTTTCCAATTAACATTTGAAGGGTACATTGTTTAAAATATTTTCATTTTACATTTATTTACGTTATCCTGATATTTCTAATTTCCAACTGGAAAAACCTGAATATATTTTTGATTTATTTGGTCAGAGGCACATCTAAACATCTATTTTTTACTAGAAAAATGTCCAAATATTTTTAGGCCTTCAGTAGTTTTATGTGAATTTTCTTATGAATAATGAATAATATTTACTTTTTTCAAGCATCCGTTGTGAATTTTCTTACAAATATTAAATACTATTTAAATTTTCTTTTTTTTCATCAGAATTTTTCAAGACCGTCATGTGGTTTTTTAAAAACGTTAGTCAAGTAATTGCTTTTTTAAAAAAAAAAAACTACTTAAATATGGTACCTTATTTAGATATATGATTATAGGTAACAAATAAACAGGCAAAAAATAAAGTAAAAAAAAACAACAATTTCAGTGAAAATCAACTTGGTCTCTGGTCAACCAGTGGGTGTGTTGTAAAAAGTGAAAACATGACCCACGTGGTGTGTTTCTGTCAGCATCTAACCAACTTTGGTCTCTTATTGAGTCTTAGAGGCTATGTAAGTTTTACACTTTTCCTCGTTTTGACTTGGGCAACTTTGAATTTCATTTTCACTATTCAGATTTTAACTTCAAATTTAGTATTTGCTATTAAATGTCCTGATTGTATTTGTAGTGTCTAAGCTTACATCCTAGTATAAATGCATGTGATTCTTTGTAATTATGCTCTTTTATTAGAAAACTATCCTCATGCTTGTAGCTAATAATCATTTATTTCAGAATGAAGAAATATTTGCTTTAAGTCTGATTTCGATGATTGGATGTTCTCTATCAATGCTGGGTCTGGCTCTCACTCTTATAGTCTTCAGTTTGGTTTGGAGGTGAGTTCTACATTTTGTTTACAGGACAATTTGTCTTATGTCCTACATGTTTTAGGTAGGTTCTACATTTTATCTACATGACAATTTGTTTTATGTCCTACATGTTTTAGGTAGGTTCTACATTTTGTCTACAGGACTACTTGGTTTATGTCCTACATGTTTGTAGGTTTAAAATTTCTGCCAATGGACTACTTTAAAAAAAAATTAAATTAAAATTTGAGCACAAACTCTATTTGTTTTTTAAAACAGGTTACAATCTATTCACACTGTTCAAGTGCCAAGATATGTTCATGTTAACTGTCTATTTCTGCTCATGCAGGCAGGTGAAAGATGATCGGACTGTTCTTCATGTGAACCTTAGTGTTTGTCTATTTATAGGATACACACTATTTTTGACTGGAATGGATAAAACAGACCATGAGGTGAGAGCAGTAACCACATAGTCAACTGCTGATCAAATATACTGAAATTAATTCATAATTAGCATGACATCTATTTATTCTAGCTGCAGATTTTTAGTAATATTATGATAAACTGATTGCTTAATTATAATTGTAACTTTTTTTGAGTTTGAAATTAAGCAGAGATTTGTTTTTTAATTCTTGAACTCAATGTGTAGAGTTTAAACTGTCTTGATCCAGCCGGACATGCTAGCTAGTTTTTATTTATTTAATCTTAGTTGTTATCCTTGAATCTACTCTTATACTTTGTATTTCAGCTAAGTTTAATACTTAATTTTAGTGGTTATTTTGAATCTACTTAATCTTATACTTTGTATTTCAGCTGATTTAATACTTAATCTTAGTTGTTATCCTTGAATCTACTTAAAATTCATATATCAGTTAATTTAATACTTAAAATCTTAGTTATCATCTTTAAATCTACTAGGTTGGATGCACAATTGTGGCTGTCTGCCTCCACTATTTCTTCTTGTCAGCAATTTTCTTAATGTTAGCTGAAGGTCTCAACATAGTCAGACTTATCATCATTGTATTCACTAGTAGCTCAAAGTCATTTGTGCGCTACCTTTTGTTAATCTCTTATGGTAAGATTTTCAAAACTTACTAAATACACACTAAGTTCAAGTTAAGTTCCCTTATTGAACCTGATGGTCCATGGGCAAGTGAAGTAGAGTTCACCTGTTACCTCTGCATATGAAGGGATAGTGTGGTCAGCACAATGCCCAGCTGGGTGGACTCAGGGACATTCTATTGGCTTCAACATGTAATTGAACTTGAGACTTTTAGGTTAGCAGTCTATCGCTCTACTGATATGCCACACTGCACAAGTCAAACATACTAGCCTATTACTGCAAAAATTTAAATTACAAAATGAGTAGCCTAAACCTCAAGACTCTAGGCATATGTTTAACAGAGGTGATAACTTTTGATTTGATTTATTTTTCAAAATCATTTTATTAATAGCCATAAAGCTGGAAATCTTATGCTATTTTTAAAAAAAATGTCTTTGGAATTTTTAAAAGTACCAAAGTAGTAGATCTAAACCTAAATGGAAAAAAAAATAAGTGCTTTAAAAACTATATATTCTCTGCTTATTAAAAAAACCTTTAAAAGTTTGGACATTTTAAAAAGGTTACAGCTGTTGAACTACTCTAATTAACATTAGTATTATATTAAATAGTTGGAAAGAAAATAAGTTTTTATATTGGTTTAAATATTTTTAAATTTTCAAGGCATACCTATGGTGATTGTTGCCATATCTTTGGCAATCACAAAAGCACAAGGCTATGGAGGTAGATCCAGGTAAGGTTTTCTTCAGTATTTACTTTGAGAATAATCAATCTAGATCCCTCAATATTTGGTGTTATGATAATCAATCTTTCCTCAGTATTTAATGTGATAATAGATAAGGCTTTAGTTGATGAATAGAAAAGGCTTTTGTCGGTGAATAGATAAGGCTTTAGTTGGTGAATAGATAAAGCTTTAGACAGTAAATAGATAAGGCTTTAGTCAGTGAATAGATTAGAGTTAGTCAGTAAATAGATAAGGCTTTAGTCAGTGAATAGATTAGACTTTAGTCAGTAAATAGATAAGGCTTTAGTCAGTGAATAGATTAGACTTTAGACAGTGAATAGATACGACTTTAGTTGGTGAATAGATAAAGCTTTAGTCAGTAAATAGATAAGGCTTTTGTCGGTGAATAGATTAGACTTTAGTCAGTGAATAGATAAGGCTGCTGTAAGCATATACACAAGGCTTGAGTCAAATCTCTAACAATTTCCCTTACAGCTGCTGGTTGTCTGTGGAAACTGGTCTGATCTGGTCTTTTGGAGCTCCAGTTCTGCTGGTTATCCTAGTGAGTCCCAGTTGACAAAGTTTCTGTTCATGCCCTGTAGAAAATTACTTATAGACCTACCATGCTTTTAAACTGTAGAAAATTATCTGTATGCCTACCATGGTTTTAAACTGTAGAAAATTTTTACCTGTAGGCCTTCCATGCTTTTAAACTGTATGAAATATCTGTATATCTACCATGCATTTAAAATGTAGGAAATATCTGTAGGCCTACCATGCTTTTAAACTGTAGGAAATATCTGTAGGCCTTCCATGCTTTTAAACTGTATGAAATATCTGTATATCTACCATGCATTTAAAATGTAGGAAATATCTGTAGGCCTACCATGCTTTTAAACTGTAGGAAATAACTGTAGGCCTACCATGCTTTTAAACTGTACTAAAATGTCCATCTTTTTCTTGTCTTAACAGGTGAATGGAGTGATTCTTGTAGTGGCAATCAGAAAAATTCAAAATTCACAGATAATCCGGAATCTTTCAACCCAGCAACGCATAAAGTAAATTTTTACAGTCGAGACTGTCCATCTTAGAAAATAAACAATTCTAATTCATAGATTTAATTATGTTAACTCTAGCTGTATGCCTTATATGTCATTTTAGAGAAAAACAATATTGGCTAATTATTGGACTAAATTTTTATATATCTATGTGGGTTATTTTCTTTGCTATACAGTTTTCTTTCGAGTTAATAATTATGTATTAAATGTTATACACAAAAAATTGAAAAACAAATTCTGAATGCAAGTAAATATACATAGTTTTTCTAACATGTTATTTTTAGATCCATTCTTCGTGCATTTGGTGTGCTCACACCATTACTGGGGCTAACATGGTTGTTTGGTATTTTTTCAATCAACAGCCAAACTATTGCCTTTCAATATATTTTTGCATTATTAAATTCCACCCAGGTGAGATGATAGTTTTCCTTTTTCTAACTGAATGTACACTAGTTTTAAATTGTAAGCATCAGAAATGTAGCATTTCAACCTTTGACCTTTGTTGAATGATACTTGCAGGGTCATCCATTTATGATGTCCACATAAAATTTTCAACTATGCAGATGTCCGAAAATTTTATAACAGTTCTCAACAAACACACTCTTGATAGAAGCTACTAGATCTATTTCAATAAAATTTATGATAGGCTTACTGGAATTTAATTTACCATTTGGGCTGTATTCAGCAATGTTGTTTAAAAGTATGTATTTTTAGAAGAAAGTTTTGTGTACATTGATGATTAATTCAACATGCTGATGTCAACACAGACTAGAATCCCCACAACATCAGGGCCTACAGTCCAGTGCTATCACACCCTGCTAGCCACTCATAACTTTTGACTTCAGTCGTTGCTAAACTCAGTAAACTAATCATAATTTCTGATATTCCTTAACTCGCCAAATTAAATATAATTTCAGGGCATCTTTATCTTTGTGTTTCAGCGAAACTCAGTAAATTAATTATAATTTCAGTCGTTGCTAAACTCAGTAAACTAATTATAATTTCAGTCGTTGCTGAACTCAGTAAACTAATCATAATTTCTGATATTCCTTAACTCGCCAAATTAAATATAATTTCAGGGCATCTTTATCTTTGTGTTTCAGCGAAACTCAGTAAACTAATTATAATTTCAGTCGTTGCTAAACTCAGTAAACTAATTATAATTTCAGTCGTTGCTGAACTCAGTAAACTAATCATAATTTCTGATATTCCTTAACTCGCCAAATTAAATATAATTTCAGGGCATCTTTATCTTTGTGTTTCAGGAAACTCAGTAAACTAATTATAATTTCAGTCATTGCTAAACTCAGTAAACTAATTATAATTTCTGATCTTACTTAACTCGCTAAATTAAATATAATTTCAGGGCATCTTTATCTTTGTGTTCCATTGCCTGCTCCAGAAAAAGGTAGCTTTGTGTTGTGCTTCTAATGATTAGTAAAAATACAGTATGCGCCTTGTTGCAACATACTCCCAACTTTTCCAATTAAAATTTAGAGTTTGGGAGAAACTAGCCCTAAAGGATGAAACCAGACAACTTTGATGAGCACCCAAGTTTTGAGATGATTTTCCTGCTTTAAAAAGTTGTCTTATGCAATCAGTCATTACAAAGTTAGATATTAAGCTGATTAAAAAGAAAATACAATATAAAACTTTCATGTTAAAATAAATGTTTATACTGAACTATCAAGGTAATTAAAGACAAGAGTTCAGGTGAAATTGATGGCAATAAAAGTTAGGCTAAAAGTGATTGAAGCAATAGTTTGGGTAAAACTCATAAAAACAAAAGTAGGTTTAATTGTTTAAAATAAAAGTTAGGGTAAAAGGTATTTAAACAATAGTTTGGGTAAAATTGATTAAAACAAGAGTTTAGGTAAAGATTAAACAAGTTTAGGTAAAATTGATAAAAACAAGTTTAGATACAGTTAATTCAGATTATAAGTATTCTATCATAAATATGACCATTTGATTCTGTTTTTCAATTCTTTAGACAAGAGATGCTTTGAAACTGTGGTGGAAAAGACAATTTCCTGGAGAGTTGGGAGCACCAAAGAAGACACAAGAGACAAGTGTATGTATCTGATTGATTTGTGTTTACTTTAGGTTGGCTAAACATTTTTAATATTTCTTGATTTAATTTTTTTTGTCTTTCTAGACTTTATAGAGAGACTGTATACACAAAACCATATAATGAGATTATGTACTGAGACCATGTACTGAGACCATGTACTGAGACCATGTACTGAGACCATGTACTGAGACCATCATGTACTAAGACCATGTATTGAGACTATGTAGGCATACTGAGACTGTCTTAGAGCAGTAAGAGCAAACAAGATTTAAAAGATTTTCAACACTGACACAGATTTTCTCATCTGTATTTTGTTTTTCAGGTAGTGGATGTTCAGTTAGTGAATTATATCTCCCATTTTGTTTTTCAGGTAGTGGATGTTCAGTTAGTGAATTATACCTCCCATTTTGTTTTTCAGGTAGTGGATGTTCAGTTAGTGAATTATATCTCCAAAGGAAGCTTTGGTGAGTAGCATGACCATGTAACGTGAAATTTCATTTTTGTAAATTTTTTATTTTATAGGATTGCATCTTTTGTTGGTGCATATGTCACTGATGAATTAAATATTACATGTTGTACATTTGTTTTGTCTACATTTTGGTTTACATATTTTAATAGACTTACATCTTACTGTCTGATGACTTTTTTTATGTAATCAAAGGCTTATTTAATTTCAGTGTTCTAAGTATTGCATCTTTATATATTATGATAATTTATCTTTTATTATCCCCTGTAAAACATTAACGTTACTTCTGCGTTTTAATAAAAGTAAAATACAAAGATTCATATGGTAAAAAAACAAAGTAGAAAATCATTCTTATCTTAGTGTTTAACTGAATTAAAAAAAAACAAACTTTCACAGCTTGCTATAGCTTTGAATTAAACAAATAAATATATTTTTTAATGAAGCTGGTAATTTTAAAATTATTTCATTGTGGTCTCTGAATTAAAACAAATATATTTCAGTGAAGCTGATAATTTTAAAATTGTTTTATAGTGTTCTCTGAGACCCAAGAAAGCCCACTGACAACAAAAATGTCTGACCACAACCCCCAGCTGTCAGCCCAACTTTAAGACAACAGAGAGGTGAACATTTCATCTACATTCATATGATCTGATGGTTGCATCATACCAACAAGACCTGATGGTTGCTTCATTGCTTCATACAAACAAGACCTGATGGTTGCTTCATTGCTTCTTTGAAGATGTTAGTTTCGACATTTTAAACATTGAATTCAAATTTTCAAAAATGTTATTTATCATTTCTTTAGCTAGTGCATTTAAAATGAGTTTTGTAAGATTTAAAATACATTTGGAAAACAGGGCTTTAGAGATCAGCATGTTTCTCTCAGCAGTCTTCTGTAAAATACTCTTTATTAATTTTTTTTGTCAGAAGTCTACAATAAAATAGCTTTGTTTATTTTTTTTTTGGTTAGCAGTCTTCTATAGTCAACTTAGTCAGTCTAGATTTATGGCTTTGGTCAGCAGTCTTCTATAGTCAACTTAGGTCTAGATTTATGGCTTTGGTCAACAGTCTCCTATAGTCAACTTAGGTCTAGATTTATGGCTTTGGTCAACAGTCTCCTATAGTCAACTTAGGTCTAGATTTATGGCTTTGGTCAACAGTCTCCTATAGTCAACTTAGGTCTAGATTTATGGCTTTGGTCAACAGTCTCCTATAGTCAACTTAGTCAGTCTAGATTTATGGTTTTGGTCAACAGTCTCCTATAGTCAACTTAGTCAGTCTAGATTTATGGTTTTGGTCAACAGTCTCCTATAGTCAACTTAGTCAGTCTAGATTTATGGTTTTAGTCAACAGTCTCCTATTGTCAACAGTCAGTCTAGATTTATGGTTTTGGTCAATAGTCTCCTATAGTCAACTTAGTCTAGATTTATGGTTTTGGTCAATAGTCTCCTATTGTCAACAGTCAGTCTAGATTTATGGTTTTAGTCAACAGTCTCCTATAGTCAACTTAGTCTAGATTTATGGTTTTGGTCAATAGTCTCCTATAGTCAACTTAGTCAGTCTAGATTTATGGTTTTGGTCAACAGTCTCCTATAGTCAACTTAGTCAGTCTAGATTTATGGTTTTAGTCAACAGTCTCCTATTGTCAACAGTCAGTCTAGATTTATGGTTTTGGTCAACAGTCTCCTTAGTCAACTTAGTTCGTCTAGATTTATGGTTTTAGTCAAAAGTCTCCTATAGTCAACTTAGTCTAGATTTATGGTTTTGGTCAACAGTCTCCTATAGTCAACTTAGTCAGTCTAGATTTATGGTTTTGGTCAACAGTCCTATAGTCAACTTAGTCAGTCTAGATTTATGGTTTTGGTCAACAGTCTCCTATAGTCAACTTAGTCTAGATTTATGGCTTTGGTCAGCAGTCTCATATAGTCAACTTAGTTAGTCTAGATTTATGGCTTTGGTCAACAGTCTCCTATAGTCAAATCAGTCAGTCTAGATTTATGGTTTTGGTCCGCAGTCTCCTATAGTCAACTTCGTCAGTCTAGATTTATGGTTTTGGTCCGCAGTCTCCTATAGTCAACTTAGTCAGTCTAGATTTATGGTTTTGGTCCGCAGTCTCCTATAGTCAACTTAGTCAGTCTAGATTTATGGTTTTGGTCAACAGTCTCCTATAGTCAACTTCGTCAGTCTAGATTTATGGTTTTGGTCCGCAGTCTCCTATAGTCAACTTAGTCAGTCTAGATTTATGGTTTTGGTCCGCAGTCTCCTATAGTCAACTTAGTCAGTCTAGATTTATGGTTTTGGTCAACAGTCTCCTATAGTCAACTTAGTCAGTCTAGATTTATGGTTTTAGTCAACAATCTCCTATAGTCAACTTAGTCAGTCTAGATTTATGGCTTTGGTCAACAGTCTCCTATAGTCAACTTAGTCAGTCTAGATTTATGGCTTTGGTCAGCAGTCTTCTGTAAAATACACTTTATTAATTGTTTTTGGCAGAAGACTTCCATAAAGTAGTCTTGACTAATTTTATTTTTTAACAGTCCTCTTTTAATTACTCATGATTAACTGTTTGGTCAGCAGTCTTCTATCAATTTATCTTGATACATTTATATGTTGGAAGTCTTCTATGAAATTTTGTCATGATTATTTAAAGTATACTTGATTTATGTCTTTGGTCAAAAGCAGAGGCGTAGCGGTGCTTCCTGACGCCTGAGGACAAACTTTCGATTTGCACCCCCTTCAAGTTTTCGATTTGCACCCCCTCAAACTTTCAATTTGCACCCCCCCCCCTTCAAGCTTTCGGCGACCAGGGAATTATGTCACCCCCCCCCCCTCGCTACGCCTCTGCTGATCAAAAGTCTCCTATAAAGTAGACTTGATTTATGTCTTTGGTCAAAAATCTCCCATAAAGTAGACTTGATTTATGTCTTTGGTCAAAAGTCTCCTATAAAGTAGACTTGATTTCTGTCTTTGGTCAAAAATCTCCCATAAAGTAGACTTGATTTGTGTTTTTGGTCAAAAGTCTCCTATAAAGCAGTTGATTATGTTTTTGGTCAAAAGTCTCCTATAAAGTAGACTTGATTATGTTTTTGTTCAAAAGTCTCCTATAAAGTAGACTTGATTTATGTCTTTGGTCAAAAGTCTCCTATAAAGTAGACTGGATTTATGTCTTTGGTCAAAAGTCTCTTATAAAGTAGACTGGATTTATGTCTTTGGTCAAAAGTCTCTTATAAAATAGACTTGATTTATGTTATTGTCAAAACTCTCCTATAAAGTAGACTTGATTATGTTTTTGGTCAAAAGTCTCCTATGAAGTAGACTTGATTATGTCTTTGGTCAAAAGTCTCCTATAAAGTAGACTGGATTTATGTCTTTGGTCAAAAGTCTCTTATAAAGTAGACTTGATTTATGTCTTTGGTCAAAAGTCTCCCATAAAGAAGACTTGATTTATGTTTTTGGTAAAAAGTCTCCTATAAAGTAGACTTGATTTATGTTTTTGGTCAAAAGTCTCCTATAAAGTAGACCTGATTTATGTTTTTGGTCAAAAGTCTCCTATAAAGTAGATTTGATTATGTTTTTGGTCAAAAGTCACCTATAAAGCAGTTGATTATGTTTTTGGTCAAAAGTTTCCTATAAAGCAGTTGATTATGTTTTTGGTCAAAAGTCTTCTATAAAGTAGACTTGATTATGTTTTTGGTCAAAAGTCTCCTATAAAGTAGACTTGATTATGTTTTTGGTCAAAAGTCTCCTATAAAGCAGTTGATTATGTTTTTGGTCAAAAGTCTCCTATAAAGTAGACTTGATTATGTTTTTGGTCAAAAGTCTCCTATAAAGTAGATTTGATTTATGCTTTTACTCAAATGTCTTCTATAAAGCAGTCTTGACTTAGCTTTGGCAACGCACCAACAGGTTTTTGTCAACAGATTTGAATTTAAAAAAAAACAAATTTCTTTATTTGCTTTATAAATCTTTATTCTAGTTACATCTCTTATGTTTATTTTTAATATGGATTTTTTTTTTAAAGAAGGTACATGGAATTGTTAAATAGACTTTATTTTTAATTGAAATATTTCCTCATAATTTTATAGATTTTTTTAACTTAATAGGGACTTTTTTTTTTACTAATCCCAAGATTTTATTAAAAATTTTATGAATTTGTTAACTTGATATCAACACATTTTTTGTAGATAGATTTCACTGAAGTTTTTTTTTATGATTTATTTATCAATTGTAAAGTGTCTCACATCTGTAAATGGTAACTTAAATTTAATGGAATTATTTTATTAAATTTACATTTCTTTAGTGATTTGAGATAACCTTGTAATATGTCCATTGATTTTAGTAACCAAATTTGTATTTAAGTTATAAGGTTTGGGTAATTAGATATGGACTTAGTTTTGACTATTTATTTCATCAAAGTGGGTTTATTTAGTTATCTCTTTAGTTGTGTGTTGTTTTTTTTTTGTTGCGGTTTGAAACTAAGAATATCACACTGTTTCAGGCGCAAGTTGTATAATATAGAACTTTGTATCAACACTTATTTAGGGGCTTTGCAATAGTGTGTACATATTTTTTTTATAGATGTGTTAAGTTAATAGGGACTTAATTTTGTCTTAAAATTTTCTGATAATTTGTATAGATGTGTTAACTTAATAGGGACTTATTTTTGTCCCAAGGTTTTCTTATAACTTTTATATATTTGGACTACTTGTTTGTCCATAAATTTAACTAAAGTGATTAATTTTGATTTATTTATCTATTGTAATATGTCTCAAACCTTTAATTGGTAATTAAATTTTAATGGCATCATTTTGTTAAATTATACAATTTTAACCTGTGATAAGTTTGTAATGTGTCCATGGATTTTAATAATCAAATTTTCATTTACTTTTGAAGTCTTAGGTAACTAGCCATGGACCTACAATTTGACTATTTATTTAATGAAAGTGTTTTTACAAGCTTTTATTTAACTCACTTCCTCTGTCGTCAGTCTGTCGTCAGTCTAGACGGAAACGCAGGAGTGAAAATTCGGACAGTTCTACTTGACCGACACGATTCACATTTGGCACGTGGGTCAAGACATGAAGACAATGCAATCTGAAACTAAATTTGACTTAATTGGATGCCTAATTGATTTTTTATGAATTAATTAAAATTTGGACCGAATTAGTAGGCATGTCTAGCCAACCACACCACACGCGTCATCAATAGCTGCGCCATCACGACCACGTAATGGCTGCGTTCAAAAACCATTGCGCGCCTACTGAACGTGATATTCAGTAGGCGCGCAATGGTTTTTAGTCATGTAACTCTATTGTAGATAAAACATGTAAAGTACTGAAAAAAAATTCATAAAAAACGTTTTAATAACAAGCTTTTATGTAATGATGCACTAAAAAGTAGAAAATAAATTATAGACTACTATTTAAATAACTATAAAGAAAAGCGTGGGTCTCTTCTCAAATATTAGTAAAGATATAAAATAGGTACTAAAGTACTAAAGTGCCCCACGCTTTTCTTTATAGTTATTTAAATAGTAGTCTATAATTTATTTTCTACTTTTTAGTGCATCATTACATAAAAGCTTGTTATTAAAACGTTTTTTATGAATTTTTTTTTTATTTCAATCATCTGTGTTTAGGCTGTTTTGATTACTTTAGCTGGTACCTTAGGAACTAAACTATTGTTTCAGGCATATCACTTGTAATATAGACCTTTTTATCAACAAGTATTTGGGGACTTTGCAATGGTGTGAACATATTAATGAATCAAAATAATTTATTTTTTATTTGCTACATGTATATGATATTTAAACAGTTTTACCTATGAAGCTTTAGATTTGTGTCTGGATATGTCACATTATACACCCAACCACCATAATATATTGCTAACCAAGATGCAGCAACATAACCCTCTACCAACCAACAAATTGATGCATATTAATTTTTTTGAAAATATATTCTGAACTTGTCATCCTACTTTTTAAAAACAAAATGTATGTACATCTTGAAATTTTAGGGATTACTGTTGAAATATTTCATCTTTCAAAAAAATAATA